GATGGGAGGTTACAACCTCCACAGACACCAACTGATAGGACTTTACAACCTCCACAGACACCACCTGTACCCACGTAGGAGTATCAAACCAGGCCAGGTGGCTTGTCTGTGCTGTCTGTCCCTCACCTTGTTGGAGTCTTCTACCTCTCTCTTCAAGCCATTGCTTCTCTCCTTCTCCTGCTTGATGACGGCTTCCAGCCGGGCATTCTCCGTCTCCAGGTCTCGCAGTCTCTCCTCCAATTCGGACTAGAGTTGGAATAGCCAATGTCAATGAGGTGATTTCTAATTTGACCAGACACCGTATCTTATATGTATGTCTGTTCAGATACGGTACAATGAGTACAGTGGACTGACCAGGGCTTTTAGTTCCTTAAACTGTTTTTGAAGCATACTTTGGGCAACTCCCATCAGCGCTTATAAACGGTGCCACATAGATTTGAAATTAATTTGAATTCAGGTAACTACTACTAAAAGTCATTTTTAATGAGATTTTTACACTCATCTTCAACAGAAAAACAGGTCAGATGATGTGTAAGACTTAAGGTACAAAGTGACCAAATGATTACAATTCACTCCAACAGCAGATTCATAGTTAAAAATTATGTAAACAAAACACTTCCTTCTTAACTGACTAATGAATAACCTATGTGCTTCATATTACATGAGATTGGAAATAAATTGCATCTCCACAGAATTGGCTTCGACTTTTCTGCGCAAATTTTATGAAGCACTTTCCTGTCCCATCAAATTGCAACACGCTACTCAAAGAATTTCAGCATCACACAATTAGATGGCAATGTCACGTACAGACAAAAGTTTAGTCGTAAGTATTGTTAAGTACGACTAAGTGTTAGTCACAGAGTGAATGGGCTTTTCTGTCACTGACCTTTCTCTGCAACGAAGTTTGAGTAACCATGAGTTGTTGGGATGTGTTTAAGTTGTTCCGCTGTGTCTGCATCAGATCTGACTGCAAGTCCTCCACCCGTCCCTCCAGGGACCGACGATCCCTCTCCAGTGAAGTCAGCTGCAAGAGTTACAAGGGTCAAAGGCCAGCAGGCTTAATCCTCAAATCGTTGGGATTTCTATACCAAAAACCAAAGGCTGTACCACACGGTGCAAAAACTTTTCAATGTGACAAGAAACATTCTCACGCAGATCCTGAGAATTACCTTTTGCCTACTCATTTACATGACAAATGGACCCAACACTTCAGAAGTCCGACAGAAAACCTCTCACTGAAACCCTCTTTTGATACCAACTGTTTATCTTACCTGATCCTGCAACTGTTTCATGTGGTGTGATTGCTGCTGTTTCTCTCTTTCAAGCTCGCTCTGATTCTGAGGGGGGACCAAAAACGTAGCACAAATCAAATTATAACAAACTGCATTCCGTCAAAAGTTAACTGTGCCAGTACCATGCTTAACACACAATGTACCCTTTCATTCAGTGCATATGGTTGGCAAGCTTGCTACACAATGTAAGGCCTCCATGACAGTTCTTGTGCATGAAGCTTATCAGCCTGGAGCAGAAGCACCCCCTCATCGGTTCAAAAGAGCCGTGTCAGTGGGGAGTGTTCATTTTGCTGGTAGCCATGCGACCAGAATGCTTGCATTTCACAGCTGTTTGTGAACCAGTGAAGTGCAGTTACCACCACAAGAGCCTCCCGTTGACAAAACAACTGCACCCTCTCTTGGTCCCGCTTGGGATAGATATGACGATCTTATGAAAAGTCACCTTTTAAAAGCGCCAATTCAATATTATCTAAATTCACCTTTCTGGCAAGGTCTAGGTTTGCTTCTGCAATGGACAATTTCCGTAGAGCATCTGTCAGCTCCTGGGTTGAAGTAAAAATGAAAAAATATGTTGACGTCAAACTAGGCAATATCAACTGTAAAGAGGCTACTGGCATGACACAAGAAACTTCTTTCAACTCGTCCCAATAACCTTGGCGGCTAAGAAGCAATTAAGATACAAGAAGTGAGTGGGTTGCTCATCAGGGTCCCTCCCAAATAAATTTGTGATCTTTGTCTCATGATAACAAGATCGCACAGATCTCCCAAAATTACATTTTTTCATAAAATCAAAGCTAAAGACTAAAACTTGATATCCTCAAAATGTTCTGATGACTGCAGTAGAAGTTGTCCAGCCACTAAGAAACATAATACAAGATTCTTATCGCCTGAGTCAAGGGAATAAAGATCCAAATCCAGTCTTGGGCTAAGACCGATCTTTTGCCTGACCTGCTGTATTTGTCGAATCTCCTGGTCCCTCAGACTCCTGGTGTGCTCTGATCGCTGCAACTCCTCTTTGAGTCTAGAAACATTCTCAGATGACGTTGCTAATCTCTCCTCCCAAACACTGCGTGTCTGTGGGCCACCCCCCAACCAAAAAAAAGCAACCATTAAACCAGATCCGTCATTGCTCATTTGAACTTCTTTCATCTTGAGCTGTCTAAAAGTTTTCATTTGGATAAAAATGACGATAAAAAACATTCTTTGCAAAGAAGGGGCTCAGAGATTTTCCTTCTTATCAGCTGGTGGAACTGGAGAATGCAAAATTGAGTAGTGCAATCAAATTTGAGTAAAAAACGTATTAATTTCTGAAAGGGTGTTTGGAAATTTTACAGATTTAAAATGGATGACATCACAGACTGATCTCAAAGTTCAATGGCAAAAGTCTTTTGGATCCTCTCACTGGGGTATGTGCCTATCCAGGGTCATATAATCAGACTTCTGAAGGGTCTAAAGATAGCTCTCTTTGATGACCAAGTGGGCCCAACTGATTGGCCCGATGCACTGCTTAAAGGTTGAAATATAGAACCTGAAATGTGAGCGTGAGATTTTCATCCGACCCACCCTGTCATTCTCCGCTTGCAACGTCTTGAGGGTGTTGTTAAACTTCTCCTGGGCATCCATCAGGTCCTTATCTCGCTGCATCTTCTCCTGCTGGGCCGTCTCCAGGGAGCGACGTAGCTTGGCAATCTCACCCTGGGAATCATTCAATCTGACGGACGTCAAAAACAAAAGGCGAACAATTCAAGAAAAGGAAAGCATCGCCAAAAGAAAGTGATATGATAGCAGGTACAAAGGAATAAAGAGGCAGTTTAGCAGCCGACAAATGATTGTGAACAAAATATTATCAGACTTTTTCATGCACTCTGGTGTAGATGAATAGACAGTTAACGACAGAAGTTTACAACTAGACCCAAAATTGTTGCACAACAAATTGCTCCTCTTCTTGGAATTAGTGGGAACCACATCAAATTATGAGCACTGTTCTTGGCGACCTTCACAGATTTGTACATACCTCTCCATCAGTGATTCCATTCTTGCTGATATCTTGTAATTATCCTCCTGGAATCATGAGAAATTCTCAAAATCATTTTTCAAGCATCACTTCAGATTTCAAACAAATACTAAATAAAAAAAACATAAAAACAAAACAAATTTAACAGCACAGAAAATTTTTTTTTTAAAGGTGGAAAACATTTTTGTTAATGGAAGCACGTCGGGCGGCATCGGATGAGTTATACCTTCTCCTTTTGCAGCAGGGTGTCGTGAGAGCTCTGCCGCGTGTCTCTATTGTCCAGCTCTCTCTGCAGCGAAGCTAGCTGGTTACTGCGCTCCATGAGGGAAGTACCGGTCACCTGAAGCTGGTTACGGTCAAACCCCCCCCCACCCAGCAAAATGAGAGATACGGGAGCATGGATGGAGGTGCACGGGGGTAGGGAAATAAAAGAGGAGGAGATGATGGTGAAATGAGATGGGTGAAGTGGATCAAATGTACCCAAAGGATGGATGAACAATACAGTGTAAATGGCCCACCAAAACAAAAATCAATTTTAACAAGGCGAATTTGAACAGTTAGGGTTTGCTATATCTACATAAATTAAACTAAGGTCCAAGCAGTTAATCACCATCATTGCCATACAGTGAATATTTAAAAGTTTTGGCAAGAATTCTGAGCAGTGGGCCAAACAAAATTTGTATTCAGCATTGCACAAAGAGGCCAGAGGCTGAAAAAATGCGGGTTCAGCTGAAACCTGGGATAATCATTACCGTTTGCCAATTGAAACGCTGCTACAGAAAGGTCTGACGCAAAGACTTTTTGTTTTTCAGACGAGCACAACGAAGAAACTCTATGCACCATTATTAAGCACCATCTGCCCCACAAAGCAACAGACCGATAGAAAAAAAAGCAACAAGACAATGCAACCCATTCATGCACATGATTGTATATGATGCAAGAGCATGCAAATAGGGTGCAGCATGCAGCGGCAAATGATGTTACATTCCGGCGGGCAACAGGAAGGATCCCCGAAATTTTTCTGCCGTTAAAATACACTATCATTTTGGTCAGCCGTATGCAGTCAGTGATGGAAGAGCATCTCACCTCTTTTTCCACGTTGCGGACTTTGCTTTCACTGGCAGCGTATTTCTTGCTTGCTGCCTAAGCGAAGACGGCAACATTTTATGATTAAAAAATGAGAAACTTTTTTGGTGTTGGCTCAAAACTTGGGCTAAAATTTAGCTCGCCAACGGGGGCGTGGTTATATCCTTTTCAATTTATCAGTCACAGATTTGAATTAAATTTGATTGAAATGAGAACTTCGATTAAGTAAATACTATTTCACAAGACATCCACTTGAGACCAAAAATTAATCTCGATCACGCTCAGTTTCGTTGATCTTAGCCAGAAAACGACTTATACTAAATAAAACACACTTGCACGTGCACAGCATATTGGCATATTTGGCAGATAAACTTATCAAGGTTCCCAAATGATAGTTGCGTTATCCTAATTCACTAAGCAAATATCCAAACTACCAAGTGCCACATATACTGTCTGTGCTAAAGTCTATGAAACTGGGGGGCCCTGATGTTTCGATTCTAAGTGAGTCTCGCTCCTAAAATCTAATTCTGACAGAGTGCTTAACAACAATCAGCCTACATGTACCTGCACGGCTTCCCTGAGCGAGAGGACTTCCGTTTCCAGCTTGTCTCTATTGCGGCTCCATTCATCTCTTTCTCGCTGCAAGGACCTGCATGGACATTGTCAAACACAATGACGATTTTACTCAAAGACATTGGCGGTCTCTACACAAAATGAAGCATGACCCGTGTGTGGAGCAAGTCATATGATCACTGGTCTTCTTCAAACTCAGAATTTCAAAGTACAAAATTTTAAAATGTGCTCAGCCAGCTAGGGGCAACAGTTCTAGAAAGGATCTCACAGAAATACATGTACTTCACTAAATTTAAGCCATCACTACGGTACATGTTTTATTATGCATGTTTTTAATGTGCAGGTGGAGCTCCAGCCTATAAAACAAATTGACAAGCCCAAATTGACTCTTTTGGGATTTCAACAAGTCCAACAAGGAAAGATTTTGGCAAACCTCTCAGACATTATGAGAGTTGTGTCAATTCAGCCCATGCAAATGATCCTTTCCGTATCAGAGTGGCCAATGGTTCAGTTTTCACAGGCTTGACAATTATGCACAGCACTTGATCAGTCACTTTAAACAATGCATCATGTTGTCAGCGCAGTTTGGCAATCCAAAGGCTTCTTGACCATACAAAATGGCATGATAACTCCGGCCTAAATCAAATTTGAATCTGCGTCTCTGGGTAGATAAAAGCTTTTAGTCAAATCAAATTAAGGCCTTTTAAATATGATCCATCAGAGTATGTAGACGAAGTAGCCGCGTCCCTTTGCAGCCTTCGTGACGGGCTAATTTCATTAGGAGGCTCTTCTTGAAAAAAAAAAAAGTACATTTTAGTCAGAAAAGGAAACTGAGTGTGCATTATTACATTTCATTTTAAGTGCAAAGTTATCCTCACAGATTTTACATTCAGCATTTTTGCTCAGACTAGTAAAGAAACATGTTCAGTGCCTATATTCAAAGTTACACCGTTAGCAGCCAATCAATTTCATGTTTGTACACAACAATGCTTTACCCCTTCCCTACAGAGGACTGCTACTACCGCACCA